TTTTTCTTTTTTGAGACAGGGTCTCACTATGCAGTTCAGGCTGGTCTTGAACTCACTTTGTAGCCCATGTTGGCCTTGAACTAACAACAATCCTCCTGCCTCAGCCTCCCGAGTGCTGGGATTACAGGTGTGTGCCACCACGCCCTGCAGCTATTTTAAATACATTCCAAGAACTAAAAGAAACCATATCTAAAGAACTAAAGAATGATATTTCATGAAATAGATAACATCGGTTAAAAGGGTCAAAACTGTTTTTAAGGGAATTTCTCTGGGAGATACCCTGGAGTTGAAAATTTCAATAGCGAGCCTCCATAGCCGATACAAGCAAGCAAAAGAAAAAAGTCCAAGAGCTTGAAGATAGGTCCACTGAGATTAGCCATGCTGGGTACAGGAAGAAGAAATAACAGAAAATGAACAGAGCTTCAGAGGCATAATAGGAGTCTCGGAAGAAGGAGTAAGAGAGGAATGGAAAGTGTGTGTGAAAATAACGGCCAAAAGCCTCCCAAATTGTCTGAAAAACCCAGGCGAGTCCCCAGAGAGCTGTCTCTGTCTTTGCTTCTTTCAGGCTTGGCCTTTTTAGGGCAAGACAGCAGCCTGCCCAGTGCCCCATTTCCCCAGTGGCCCATCTTCTCTCTGGGCTCACGCAGGGCCCAGGCTGGAGGCCAAGGTCATGGCTAGACTTCGCTCAGTTTGGAGCAACGCTAAGCTCCATGCTCAGATCTGGGGATTTCTCCTGTCAGTCTTACACAGTTCTTCAGTAGGGGTGGTAGATAACACACATAGACACTGCTGTGGAGAACTGATAGAGCATTTTTTCAAAAAGGCTGAGGACAACATTGGTATCAATGCAAGTAAAAACCATCTCATGCCAGGCTTGGTGGCACATGCCTGTAATCCAGGCACTCAGGAGGCTGAGGCAGGAGGATTGTTGTGAGTTCAAGACCAGCTGGGCTATGAAGTGAGCTCAAGGCCAGCCTGAACTGCATAGTGAGACCCTGTCTCAAAAAAAAGAACCATCTCATGCCTAACGCACTAGCTCTCCAGGGCTTTGCACAAATCAAGTTATTTTCTAATATATCCAGGCACTTGCTACCTAAGACCTTCTAGGCAGTAACCCATCTCATCTGCTGTTCGCTCAAGTTCACCAAGTGCCCACTATTCTGATTCTTTGGGGTCGGACCTCCAGACACGATTCTGCATGCCCAGTGACTCCGGAACCAAGTTATATGGTCAGCCCGATTGCTGTGTCCCCAGCCGAGCCCCAGAGCTGATCACCATGCTTTCTAAGGAACAACCCACTTCACATTTTAGGCCGAGGAGTCTTATAGAGATAGCAATAGTAAAGTCACAACAGCCATCTGCAGGTACAAAGTTGACCGCAGCTGCCTCGGAGAGCCTAACGATCACCCCAGTGGTAGCCCTGGGCGGTTGGGATCTCCGCCCGCTTGACCGCTGGAGCCTGTCGAGGCAGAGCTGCAGCCCGAGTCCCGTGTGAGGGTGACAGATGGGTGGAGAGTCTCCAGGGGCAGGCAGGAAGGCTTGGCGTCTGCGGGTCAGCACAAGATGATCCCTGGCCTCTCCACCAACGCCTCACCTGTGACCAGTGCCCTCCACAGGGCCTCCCCCCACGGCTTCCTTTTTAACTCGCCTGTTGCTCAGCTTCCCAAGCGTCACCCACCCAGACAGCAGCAAGGGTGGGGACAGCCAGGTCACCACAGGTCTGCCATGGGACAGGACCTGTGCCTTGCTCCGTGACACTGGCCACCGCCTGGTTGGTTTGTCCTGACTCAGGTCTGGGTCCACTTGCCTGCTCCGCTTTTAGGGACCACCAGGGACTTGTGGTCACCCATGGGCAGCCGCGCAGCCTGGAGCAGATGTTCCCACCAGGCGCAGGGCAGAGGACTTCGGTTTTCCTCGTGTCAGAAGAGAAGATAGGGCTGAGTGCAGTGGCACATGCCTGCAATTCCAGCACTCGGAAGGCTGAGGCAGGAGGGTCCCAAATTCAAGGCCAGCCTAGGTTACACAGTGAGCTCAACTGGACAACACAGTGAGAATCTATCTCAAAAAACAGAAAGGGAGGGGGAGCGAGGGAAAGAGGAAAAAGGAGAGATCAGTCTGCCATCCTCAGGCCCCCAGTCCAACCACATCTGAGAGAGACTGAGGCTTCCTGAGCCCTGAGAAGGAATCTTTTTTTTTGTAGTACCGAGGATCGAACTCACGACCTTGCGCTTGCCAGGCAGGCGCTCATGCCCCTGAGCTATACCCCCAGCCCCTGAGAAGGAATCTTATCCGCTGGGTGCCGCTGTCCCCTCTTGCCCATTTCAGGGTATATCATAGAGGGAAAAAGGAAGGGGAGCCTTGTGCCTGGACTCCCCCAGGAAAACTCCCCCAGCAGAGCACTGCCGGGTCCTCCCACACACAGCCCGCCCCGCTGCGCATGCGCCCCAAGCGCGTCCACCCCAGCACCCCGCAGCGGTCGCCCGTTCCCAGTGCCCAGGTGGAGCCTGATGTTTCCGGGGAGGGCCAAGTCCACAGGCTCCCTCCGCAGGCATCATCTCAGCAGCCCAGAAGGCCAAGCAGCTGCGCCTGGCCGAGCTTCCGAGGTGGCTGGACCCACGGCCCCCGGCTCGGAAGGCTTTTAACTCACAGATAGCGAGGAGTCGGAGGGGCAGCTGACCGTGAAACACACTTGAATTCACTCAATTCTTCCCAGAGGATCTTCAATGACAACTGAAATTGGCCCTTAAAGAACGGAACTGAAATGTTCCTTTGTCCAGAGGGAGACCCTGGGAGACTCATGACATCGCATGAGCCGTCCTGAAGCACAGACTCGAGAGAATCTACAGCTAATAATCTAACATATATAAGAGGTTCGCACTGGGCTTTAAAATAGCAGTGGGTGCTTCGAGACAGAAAAGCACAGGATTGATTCTGACATCTCCACCCGCCGTCAGGCACTCCAGGTAACTCGGCTCAGAAGGGAAGTGATTTAAATATAGATGCTCACAGCAGAGGCTCTTGATGGCCCGGAACATTTACTGCGGCTACCCCGGCCCCGTCTCCAGCCCCGTCTCCTTCCTGAAGCTTGGGACGGGAAAGGAGAGGAAAGACGTAAGCGGCAATCAGATGATGTAGCCAGACAGAAGGAAGCTTTCGTCCCCATAAAAGCCATGACGTTGGCAGGCACTGGGGCACATTTTCAGGAGCCACTGGGCATCCGCCTGCTTCTGATTGTGCAAATGCAGCCTGGAGATGAAGCAATGAGTTCAAACTCAGTGCCATTTAAACCAAAGGTAGAAATATCTTTCTATTGAGGGTCGTGGGCACACAAGAAAAAAGAAATCAGTGAAGGGCCTCACACAAATAAAAAGCAACCTAATATAGTTTTTTTTTTAAAAAAAAAAAGAAACATAAAATAATCCATTCAGCAACTTCCTGAATCAGCAGTGAAGAATATGGAACATATTCAACAAGCAATAAAGCTATATTTCAGTGCTATGGTATGTCCAGTTATGAGACGGAGACTAAAGGGGAAAATGCAAGTGAATTATATATATTTGGGGGGGGGCATTTTGTCCGGTACCGGGAATCGAACTCACGACCTTGTGCTTGCCAGGCAGGCACTGTGCCGCTGAGCTAAACTCCCAGCCCCATGAATTATATTTAAAATTAGTATGATTTGCTTTGTACCAGCCCCCTTGCTTGTCTCCACATCAAATCCAGATTTGGGGCCCCATTGTCCACAGACCCCCTGCGGCTTTTGTGACAGTGATCGGGTGGACCAGGCAGCTCCCGGAGAAGGTCGTGCTGGGCTGCACCCAAGACGTGGGTCCCCCCATCTGATGACATGAATGACAGGCAGGGTTCAGTCTTCACACGGAAGTGCTCTACCTGCACGCAAGTTCATTGGGCGGCCGTTCACAGGAGCCCTGGCAGGGCGTTTTAAGAGGCCCACAGTGGGGGTTCTCAACCTGGTTACGCATCGGAATCTCCTGAAAAGCTTTGCAAAAATGCTGCTTCCCAGAACTCTCCGTGACTCAGGGTGGGCCTGGAGTCTGTCAAGAACCACAGCTCTGGCGTTGGGGCTGGTCCCAAGCTCCTCAGCCCCGGCTCCATTGACACCGAGGGCTGGATGATTTTGTGTTGTGACGGGGGCCATCCTGGGCCTTTGTGGGGTATTTAGTAGCATCCCTGGCTTCTGCCTACTAGATGTGAGGAGTGTTCCACTCTGCACCCGAACGTTTCCAGGCACTGCCCAGTGTCCCCTGGGGAGAGGCATCGGCCGGCTGTTCAGTCTTTGCTGCTCGTGTCCCTTGCGCTTCTGACAAATGACATGAGCCTGCGCCTCCGTTACCCTATCTGCCTTGGTCACAAGCTGTCTGCCCTGCCAGCTCCTGCAGTCTCTGCTCCCTGAGGACCTCCCAGCTTCTTATGCAACGCCATTATCCTGCTGAAATGCTGTTCCAAGGGTCAGAGAAGTGCTCTGGCCCAGAGCCAGGGTTTGGGGAAGAGAGCCGGCCAGCGGTCTGCGATGCGGCCAGCAGGACGGCGCCATGCTCCCCCTGTGCCTCTGTCCTGGCTTCCGGTCCTTGTTCCCAGCTCACAGCCTGTCTCCCTCCTTTGCAGAGAAGAACTGCTCCTACTTCAGACATTTCAACCCAGGCGAGAGCTCGGAGATCTTCGAATTCACCACTCAGAAGGGTGAGCCCACCGCAGCCGAGGGAGCGGGGGTGTGGAGCGGCTGGGGCCAGGGAGTCACCGGGCAGAGAAGTGCTGACTTGCCCCTCCTGATGAGAAGCTGCCCTGGCCTGGAGCGCTGGGGCAGCTGCCTCCTCCGGTCCCGGGGCCACAAGTGACAGCGTCCCTCTCCAGGCGACCGGAGCGCACTCCTCGGCGCTGAGGACGGCTGGTCAGGGAGACGTTTCCGGGGAGCTCTAAGGCTCGGCAGGAACACGTTTCCCAACAGAGCCCAGGGAGGCTGCTGTGTCAGGCGCTAAGGCGATGCACTGCAGTCCTGGAGAAGGTTCTGGGCGTCGGGACTGGGTCGTGCATGCAGGGGAACAGCCTAGTCCCCGCGGTATAAACCTGCCCCCGGGGCTGGGAGGAGCCCTGCGGTCCTTTGCATCGCAGAGCTCAGAGCCACGCGCACCACGGTGTCCAGACCAGGCTGCATATTCACGGACGGCTGCTCATAGTGTGCGTGTGTGCGTGTGTGCGTGTGTGTGTGTGTGCGTGTGTGTGTGTGTGTGTGTGTGTGTGTGCACGCACGCACATCGCCAGAGCCTCACACACGGGACGCTCACACCCACAAAGACTGAAAGAGCCTCATGCATGGCGGGCACACGCAGACACACACACCAGTAGCCCTCACACACAGCACTAGTGACACCCCACACACCCTCGCAAACACGCTAAGTAACACGCACACTGTGTCGTCCTCCCGGAAGCCCCTCGGCAGTCCGGGTCCCACCACCCACAGCCCCCTGTGCCTCCTTCTGCCTGCCCCCTGGGGGAAGAGTTCTGCGCTGGAGACGTCTCCGGCCACAAGCCTCCCCGTCCGCCTCGCGCGGCCTGTGCCCGGGGGACGGGAGTGGCGTGAGTCCCGTTCGCTTCCGCCGCAGCCCTTCCCCAAGTGTGACTCCGGTGCGTAAGCCTCGCAGTCAGGTGTGGACGGGAACTGTCGCTAGTCGCGAACGGTCAGCCCGCCGGGTTTGCGGGAGGAGGCCCGGGCCTGAGGCGCCTCTGATTTGCAGAGTACAGCATCTCGGCCGCGGCCATCGCCATCTTCAGCCTCGGCTTCATCATCGTGGGCAGCGTCTGCGCGCTCCTGTCCTTCCGGAAGAAGCGGGATTACCTGCTGCGGCCAGCTTCCATGTTCTACGCCTTTGCAGGTAGGCGGGGTCCCGGGGGCTGCGGGGACCGCGCGGGGTGGCAGCGGCGCCCGCATCTCCTGAACGCCCCGCGTCTGTCCCCAGGGCTCTGCACCTTGGTCTCCGTGGAGGTCATGCGGCAGTCAGTGAAGCGCATGATTGACAGCGAGGACACGGTCTGGATCGAGTACCACTACTCCTGGTCCTTCGCCTGCGCCTGCGCCGCCTTCGTCCTGCTCTTCCTCGGGGGCGTTGCCCTCCTGCTCTTCTCCCTGCCGCGAATGCCGCAGAACCCCTGGGAGTCCTGCATGGATGCCGAGCCTGAGCACTAGACCTTGGGAAGCTTAGCCCCAGCCCAGAACCTTCTAGAGAGGAGGCGGGAGTTTTACACCTGCCCTGCCCCTGCCCCACCTACGACAGCTGTGGGCGGCTTCCCCTCCCTGAGCAACTCTCTGGGCTGAAGCAAGCTCCTCTAACAGAGCAAAGGGACGCGAGCCAGACCCGTGCAGGTTCAGCGGGAGGAAGGCAGCAGGCGCACGGTGTTTGGAGGGACACCTCAGGGTTCTCCCTGCGCTGCCAGCTGCCTGTGATAAACCGGCTCCTGCAGTCTTAAAAAACCCTAGAGGGACAACCTGCGCTCATCTACCAGTTCTGGTGTCACCTGTGTAGAGAGCCAGTGCCTCTTGCCTCGGTGACAAGATACACCTTTCCAGTGAACTGAATATCCCTCCTCGGTATCCAGGAGCCCTGAGGAGCATTGTTAACTGGGTAGAATCTAACTGTGGTTCGAAATAAAAGCTCTTGGAAGCCCTTGGTTTCTCGTGCTTTGCGTAGCAATCGCGTGGATTGCGGCCACGCCCAGGGGCCCAGACTCTGGTGGAGAAAGGGAGACATGTCCCCAGGAACAGTGAAGATGTTTGGGGGGCTGGGGGCGGAGAGGAGAAGAGAACCGAGGTGGCTTATAGGTTCTGAATTCCCACTTGTGTCTCTGGGCCCTGGGATGGCTTGGGATGAAATTGGAAACCCTCTGAGTAGGCAAGGGTGTTAAAAATAGGAGGGGTTATTTCTAGAGTCGGGCATGCTAAGAATCCAGTGGCAAGAAGGGCTGAAGCAGCCCAGCCCTGCGCTATGTTTTCTGATGCCGGATTTTTGCCTAGAAGAACCTCCGGACATTGGGCTTAACAGTTAGACATGCAGGGCCACGGGGAGCAGCATCATGTGCTGTCCTCTGCCTTCCCAAACCCCACTGTAACTACCTGCAGAAATCAGTCATGGCCAGCAGACAGGGCGCTCCTGTGCCTTGCCGTGAACACCATAGTCCTATCTGGAGCTCGTTCCGCCAGAGCTGGGGTTGGCGAACGCCAGCCTGCGGGGCGAAGCAGGCCCCCTGCCTCTTGCGTGGCCTGCAAACGATCAGTGGTTTTTCACATCTGTAATGGTTTTGAAAAATCAAAAGAATATACTATGAATATCAAAATGATTTCATGGCACAGGAAAATTATACGCAATTCAAGTGTTGGTGTTTGTAAATAATGTGTTCTTGGCACACAGCCAGGCCTGTTCAGACAGGTGCATCAGGTGGCTGCTTTGACAGTGGCTCTGGGTAAATGCGTCAGAGGTGTTCGGCCCTGCAAAGCCCAAATCCGCTCTCTGGCTCTTTCTGAAAAAGGGTTGCTGCTAGGCGTGATGGAGCATGCCTGTAATCCCAGCACTCAGGAGGCTGAGGCAGGAGGATTGTTGTGAGTTCAAAGCCAGCCTGGGCTACGAAGTGAGCTCAAAGGGAGCCTAAACTGCCTAGCGAGACCCCATCTCAAAAAGACAAAAAAAAGGTTGCTGATGCCCTTCCAAAGAACTGCATACTGCAAGGTCAGTTTATTCATACCCTCTGTTCCCATCTGTAAGAGGAGCTGGGCATGGAGGCCCACACCTGTAATCTCAGCACTCTGGGAGGCTGAGGCAAGAGGATAACAAGTTTGAGCCCACTGTTGGCAACGTAATAACTTATAGAGACCCCGTCTCAAAATAAAAAATAAAAAAGGGCTGGGCATGTAGCTCAGTTCAAAGGCCCTCGCTGGGTTCAATTCCTCAATACAAAAAAAAAAAGACTTTTGTTCATCCTTTCGTGTAGCTTCGCATGAGACAATTTACAAGGAAGGGGTGAGTTTGGAGGAAGAAGGTGAGCTCTAGGGTCCACGGAGGGGCTGCGCTGGGTGTGGAGGAAACGTGGGCTGGACAGAAACAACCCACCCTGCTTTTGAGCGAGGGACCAAGCAGAAAGCGTGGCTCATGGTTCGGAAATCCAGAAAGGTTAAAGGGAGAGAAAGGATGCGATGCCAAGAATCTAAACCACGGGAAGCCAGAGTGCGGGAGCTGCAGAGAACTGGCAGAGGCTGTAGCAGCTCACAGCCAACACCAGGAGACAGGAGGTCACAAAGACGCAAAGACGGAGCCCGGGAGCAAACCAGCGGCTCCAGGAGGAGATGAGGGACATGCAAGGACGGGCCAGCCAGGCCTCGGGGGCCACAGTTTCTGAGTGAGAGGGAAGGTAGGTGGCTTCGTCCCCAAACCTTTGGAAGGTCAGTGTTGCCTTTTTTATTATTATTATTTTTTTTACTGTTAGCAGAATCAGATTGCTGTGTTCTATACGTCGACATGTCTTCCTGTTTCTAGATTGCTTGCTTGCTTGCTTGATTTGGTACTGGGCATTGAATCCAGATCCTTCGCACTGAGCTACATCCCCAGTCCCTTTTTGTTTTTGAGGCAGGGTCTTGCTAGGTCACTAAGTTGCCCGGGCTGGGCTTCAACTTGCGATCCTCCTGCCTCAGCTTCCCGGAGTGTTGAGATTGTAGGCATGAGCCCCCGCACCCAGCTTCTTCATGACTTCTGAGTGGAATAGCCATGGAACAGGGTCCCTTGGCTCCCCAGTTTGTACTTAATTGAGAGAGGTTTCAGTGCACCAGAACCAGGATGCAGACGAAAGGGAGATGGGTAGCTGCCAGGCTGCCCAAGTTCTGCAGAGAAAAAGCGTGTAAAGCCAGCAAGCGAACGAACCAGCCAGCGCAAGTTAGGAAATCACTCCTCGCCACTCCAAACTGCCGACCGCTGCTTGCCGGGAAGGATGTCCAGAGTGGGCAGATGGTCAGACTTGCCCCAGGTGGGTCTAGCTGAGGACTGCAAAACCAGGGCGCAGCGTGGTCCAAAGCCTGTGCTCAGCTCGGAAGCCCGCCCCTTCCAGCCTCTTGCTTGGGCCTGAGTGAGTTTAGCGATTGGAACACTTTCTCAGCATTTCCTGCGCATCGTCTTCCTCCCGCGAAACAGAGGTTAGCAGAGCCTGAGCAGCAACTCAGTCAAAGGCTAATAGTATTTAATTGTGGTACTTGTTTTAACGGTGGTAAAATGCACCGGACGCAGCATTACCGTCATGGCCGCTTTATAGGGTACAATGCAGCAGTGATAGGTACACTCTCACTGTGTGCCAGTCTCCACCCTCCATTTCCAGAACTCTTCTCATCCTTCCCAGGCTGAAACCCTCTACCCATTAAGAGCTCACGGTTCTGCCTTCCCTGCTCCCGGCTCCTTCCCCGCCCCTCCTCCTCCTCTGTACCTCATCTCTGTGAATTTATGCTCTAGGGATCTCACAGAGGTGGGCTCACACAATATTTATCCTTTTGTACCTGGCTAACTTCAGTCAGCATAACCTCCCCAAAGTTCATCTTCGGGCCTGTGTCAGAACTTCCTTCCTTTTTCAGGGGAAAATACTATTCCACTGTATACACACACCGTACCTGGTTTATATTAATTCCTCCATGGCTGGACACTGGTTATCTCCAGCTGTTGACTATGGGGATAATGCTGCTATGAACAGGAATATTCACATAGCTGATGGAATCCCTGCTTTCAATTCTTTACATATAGTCAGTGGGATTTTTACCTTAAAATTTATGCAAAATATTCACCATGAATACAATATCAGAATTTTATTTTTTTTAATATCAGAATTTTAAATGGGGTTTTTATTGATTTTTTTCTCCTTATGTGTCATACTCCTATGGCTCGGCATGGCACTAGAAGTTTAATTATCCCCACTATACAGAGAAGAGTGAGGATCAGAGAAGGGCTGCTACCGTCTCCTGGCTAACCAGCACCAAGCAGGAATTAGAACTAAGGCTGTCATTCACTTCCTGTCTGACCAGGACCCCTTGCCAATCTTAAGTCAATAACAGGCAGGACCAAAAGTTGTCCCACTGTCCTTGGCTAACACATAGTAGGCACCGTCCAAGTGGTTTGGCTCTCAATTTTTCCTTAAAAAGGAAATTTCAAGGGTCTCTGTGTACCTTTGCTCTTTATTTTCTCATTTCCCCAAGAAAGAAGGAACATGCTTTAATTACATTCTATTGCAATATTTCCCCTGCCACTGAAACTGGTTCAATTTTGACCAAATATTTTATTTACAAATTCACTTCTAATTTATATCCTGCTCACTTTCAGAAAAGATCAAAGGTAGAAGATGGGTGTGGTGGTGCGCACTTATAATCCCAGCACTCAGGAGGCTGAGGCAGGACGATCACTGCAAGTTCAAGTCCTGCTTGGGCCATAAAGTGAGCTCAAGGCCAGCCTGAACTGCATAGTGAAACCTTGTCTCAGAAAGAAAAAAAAAAAAATCAGAAGTGGAGACAAGGCATTAATAAACCCACGGTGTGGAACGGATCTATTAAGCACTGACAGAAGCCTGGTTAGGGTGTGACTGCCCTGGCCTCCCCCACCTTCAGCTCCCAGACGCACTCAGCTGCAGCGACAGAGGCCATAAATTAATCCCCAGCCAGGGCATCGATCCTGCACAGCCAGGAAAGTTAATTAAGGTAATTGCCACTACGAGGAGAGAGACCGTCTGTTCTTTTGACTTTGTCCCTGATGAAATTTTTTTTTTTCCTGGTATTAAAGAGCTGACTTCTTGGACATGTTTATCATTGGGGGTTTAGATTTGTCCTCGGGGCCCACAAAGTAGTCCTGCTCACCCTGCGGAAAAACAAAGGACAGGGAATTTGTCTGCGAAACCACGGCCTGAGAGTGTGCTTAGCTCGGAGTTGGATGAGCACAAATCCCTTTCCCACGAGGCTGGTGTCAACAGCAGCCGTCCCAGCCCCACCCTCCCAGCCAGAAACAACGGGCTCTGCGCTGCAGACCGAGGGTCTCAGGGCGCCGGTGTCGCGCCTCAAAGCAGGGATGAAGGCAAGGGGAGCTGAGCAAGTGTCTGAGAGGAGAGGTGACAGCCCCAGCCCTGCCCATCTAATGCGGAGGGAACCAAGAGCCCCAGGAGGCAGCCACCAGGTCCTGGGTCGGGGCACCGAGCGAGCAGCTGAGACCACACAGCTCTTGGGCGAGCACATTGGGAGGTGCAAGCCAGGAGCTGGGAGGGCTCCCACACCCAGGGGGCGCTCTGCGGGGAGCTGTGTGTCTCTCCAGGACACGCAGCTGCTGTCCTGCAGGTACACAGAGGTGAAGTTGCCTCTTAGCAATTCTGACCGGAGAAGCACCATCCTCCTGACCGCTTCAAGCGGTGGACACAGCCAGGGAGGGTGTGCAGAGGCCCCACTGGACCCCTCAACCCCGGGGCCCGCCTGGCCTTGGATGGCAAAGGCCCCTTGCACCGTCGCAGCACGGTGGCTGGTTTCGCCTTCCAGGCCTGCTGCCCACTGGGCTGAAAGCTCCTGGGAACAGGCCCTGGTGACGTAGGGAGGAACAGGCCCTCCCAGTGCGCAGGAGCTGCCTCAGAGAGGGGAAGAAAGAGGAGGCAGAATGCACTGTAATGCA